ACATTATAAAATCAATAGGTTTACAAAATAGGCTTGCCAAACTTTATTTCTGAATTGTAAAGTGAATGACTGGTGATTTTTAAAATAAGTACTAAGAAAATACAAATTTAATATGCTCATTTTCATGCTCGGAATAGAGTAACACAGAAACAGTGGATATACTGCACAACCTAAACAAAGTACAGAAAAACCAGAACCCACAAACTTCACTATCTTCACAGAGCACTCTTACATATCTTACTGTAGCTTTGCAAGACACATCTCAATGCAATACACAATCTTTGTGAGAATCTTTCTATTCAGAAATTACAACTCAAGGACGCTATGTGAGTCAAACATTTTTAAGTTTTGGACCAATTCATGATGACAGTCTTTAAAGAACTATTTTAGATTATAGTATTTTATAGCCTAGAACATTTTAAAACAGGTATTTTCCAAAGATGACAAAGGGTTCAACATCAATGTTTTTGAGAATGTTTTTACCTAGAGGTAAAGTTAGAAAATGTAATGGAATTATAGAGCATAGTAACAGCCTCAAACCATTCTCTCTAAAGACATTGCTAGAGAGAAAAAGATTTTTGTGTGGCAGCTGAGATTAAAATATTCATATATAACTCCTTACTAATATGAACCTTGTGACTACAAAGTTCCAGAAGTAGGATTTGAATGAAATATTTACCAAAACACTCACAGTAATCTCTATATCTATCTATATATCTATATATATCTCTTTGTTTGCCATCATACTTGCCTATACAGGCTCGGTATTGAAAAACTTTTATATCAACAAATCTAACAGTCAAGCAAATCTTACAATGGAGTGTTGTGTATTGATTTTCCTTATATTATGACAGGTTTTGACTATATGCAAGTAAAACAGCATTCAACAATTTACTCTAGTTGTAATTACATACTGTACCATTGTATCTCACTTACCACTAACTAATTTTTGATGCTTTTAAGCAAATCTAAAACCAATATTTTCTTCACAGAACAACAACTAGAAAGGGTCTTTTTTTTGTTTCGTTTTTCTACTAAACAGTAATCAAACAGCAAGTGAATATTGTGCAATTGAACAAATATCTAGCAGTGTTTGTTATTTATGCAAAAACACTGACTGAACCTTTAGTCATTGTTTACTGTAAAGGCAAGGCCATGGGTGGTTTTATGGAGGTCTTTTCAATTAATAGCATAGTTACTCCAGAACAGACACTGAATCTGAATTACTTATTTAACTGTGGCAACTATCCATTTGGGTTATGGCAAAGGCACGGTAACGTGTTGCGCAGAATGGATTATTGAACTTTAATAATTGTGGGACTGGCAATAATATGAAAATTTCATATTTCTATATTTTATAAAATGTTTCCATTGAAATTAACTGCACCATTAGTGCATAAATGCATTGTAAAATTATGAAAAAGAACTATGATTGCACTTCCATTAAAGTGTCTCAAATACAGCATAGCTGTTGCTAATAAACTGTATTTTAATATTTAAAACAACTGTTTCACAGCAGCATTAGGTTTAATTAACTTAAGGTACAGGCTACATTTAATTAAATGCAGTCACCATGGCAATAAATGCCATTTAATTTAGAGAAGAAATGCTACCCAGTGGTTCACTGCTAAGAATCATGGGGATTACTTTGATACAGGCACATTGTGCACCTGTTGTATTGGGTTAAAGTTAATTAGCTATTCACAGTTTGGCACATTTGGACTGTAAATAGACATGGAAAAAATCTTTAATTTTAATATTAAAAGAATATCCATTTCCTTGTTCCTAGAGCAGCACTAAAGAGAAGCATTAAATACCTCAATTCACTCTAGTAAAAAATGAAAGATAAATAAGGAAAAAGTTATGGAAAAGCAAAAACAAAATGTAAATGAACTGCTAAATGTTATTTTGCTGAAAGATTGAGTTCTAAAAATGGAAAAAACTATTTGAGGCTAAATAACGAAAATAATCAGTGTAAGCCTTTAATCCATACTTTCAAATTAAGGATCACCAACGTAAGGCTAAACAGATGCTGCAATGTATTAGGAATGTGGAGTACAACCTACTTATTCCTCCTCCTTCAGAGCGAAAAAGGCAAACACTACCTAATTAAATGCAAAGGATATTCCTTGAAAGGTTCATATTATTAGTCTAAAGAACTTCAATTCCAGGGAACGCCTATGTATTCCATCATTATGTCAGTGGTTTACATTTGAGCTGTAAGTATGTGGATCAAAGTCCCCATAATGCTTACTCCACATACTGTACCATTTGTAACTACCATCCATTTAAGCTCAAAAACTACTTTGTGTTCATACCAAATGTACATGCTCAATCCATTCATTTGAGGTCTGAGGAGTTTGACTTGAAACCTCTTCTGAAGTATCCACACTGCTAATAGCTTCCCCGGTACAGTCACCACTTTGTGGCAGTCTATCCCCTGGAATTATGTTTTCTTCAGAAATACTCGCTTCTGTTTGGGTTCCTCTGCCTTCATTTCTGATGGCATCCTCAAAAAGTGCATGCTCTTCCTGAGGCTCCAGTCCTACCTCTATAAGATTTGCTTGTCCTCCTGACCCATCATCGATACTATGTTGCTGTGAATCCTCATCAGTTTCTGTACTTGCTGAAGGAATTAGTGCAATACTTTGAGGGTTCATGTCATGGAACCAGGCCATGATATTTCCAAGCAGATTTTCATTAATGTTGGGATCCTGGCTACTTGAATCGGCATCACTAGATGTTGAGTATAATCCACTTCTTGTATCACTGAAAGGGTGTGAGCTAAGGCGATCAGCTGAAAATGGATCATTGCCCGCCCCTAGTCTCATCAAACTATCACCAAGTTCTAACAACTCAGAGCTGCTCAAAGCAGCCCTAGGGTTATCTATATTTACAGGAACTGAGTCCAACCTTGTAGGCAAAGATGTACCTATTGCTCCTAATGATGCCTCATTATTAAGGAAGTCTCTAGTTTCTTCATCAATAGCCAGGCCAGATTCTTGCAATGATAATTGAATAGCAAGCAGGATGTTTGGGTCATCTTCATCCAAAGAACTAAGAGCCTATGGAGATATACAAGATCACTTTCAAAATTAAGTAGCAAGTATCAAAGGGGTAGCCGTGTTAGTCTGGATCTGTAAAAGCAGCAAAGAGTCCTGTGGCACCTTATAGACTAACAGACGTATAGGAGCATGAGCTTTGGGTATTCACCCACGAAAGTTCATGCTCCAATACGTCTGTTAGTCTATAAGGTGCCACGGAACTCTTTGCTTCAAAATTAAATAATTTTTGCTTTTGATCAAGTTTTGGATTCAAAATTAATGTATATTGCATTTTGTTTAAAATGTCTGAAAAATGTATTCCAGTAAAATTTTAAAATCAACTCTAAAAGTTGATTTATCCTTAGTGGTGATGATACATTTACAGTAGCTTAACAATACTTTGTAAATTCATATTTTCTTATCCTAGATTCCACCCCTCTCATGACCATAGTCATGTATTTGTCATGTAACAAATGTAGGATGCAGGAAAATATGATAAAGAAAAATATAGGAAGGGAAGCAAAGCAAAGCAAAGCAAATGGACAGGAGACTAGGGAAGATACCTGAAGAGAATCCTGGTTTTCAGAGCGACTGACAGGGGTATAGTCATGAAGTGAAGAGCTGTGCAGAATACTCATAGAAGCTGAACTCACCATGGAGGTACCGTGTCTTCTACTGCTACCACCCTCTTGAGTATCTGTTAAAATAATTTAAACAAAAACATAAGTATGAACACGAAACCTCTATCAATTTTTAATCCCATTTTTATCAGCAGAACCTCCTGCCATTCTTATTTATTTGGGTTCAAGTGTATGATCTTGCTCTCATCTTCATTTTGGCCCAAATCCTGTAATACAGAGCACAGCCCAAACAACTGGCTGTGTGCTAGAGGAAAGGACTGCTTCCCCATTCCCTCCTTAGGATGTTTGCACAGCTGCGCCCATGGCATCAGTGAAGCCCTGCTGGATTTGGAAGGAAGTGGGGGAAGAGACAAGAGGAGCCTTGTAGCAAATGGTTCTTCTAGCCTTGCTCTGTGCACAGCATACATTAACCCCCCCACATCCAGCCCCAACTCATGTACAGTGGAACAGTACCAGTTACATTGCTTTGGGAGTCTCCATGGCTGCAGAGGATGGGATTGATTTATCCCTTTACTCCCTAATACAGGAACCTGGATTTGGCCCTTTGTGCTTGTCTGCCTCCTTCCTATTTGTCAAAATCCATGTTAGCATGTTCCTCTATTCTTAGCTGCAGAGTGGCTCCTAGTACGTTGTGACAATTGAGTGTAATTTAGAGCAGCCATGAAGCTGTTCTAATTTAAGACGTGCAAAAATATGCGGGTCACAGATATTCATATGCACACCATAGCTCAGCTGCAAACTGAGAATCTTGCTCACATTTCTTTTTCCTGTGATGTGTCAGCATTTCTAAGAGTGATGTTGCTACTGCTTCCACTGTGAATCCAAGTAACATTCCTGGTCTTAAAAAAAAATTCTAATAATGAAACCAGTGTTGTCAGAAAAAACTCATTCTGTAGTAAAGGGAAATATCAATCTTTTGAATTATGCTACAGTAACTCTTCACTTAAAGTCGTCCTGGTTAACATTGTTTCGTTGTTACGTTGCTGATCAATTAGAGAACATGCTCGTTTAAAGTTGTGCAATGCTCCCTTCTAACGTCGTTTGGCAGCCACCTGCTTTGTCCACTGTTTGCAGGAAGAGCAGCCCATTGCAGCTAGCTGGTGGGGGCTTGGAACCAGGATGGACTGGCAACCCCCCACTCCCCTAAGTTCCCTGTGCTGCAGTCGCCCAGCAGGCTATCAATCGACAGTTCAGCTGTCCCTCCCCCCACTGCCATGTGCTGCTTCTGCCCTCTGCCTTGGAGCTGCTCCCAGAGACTCCTGCTTGCTGTGCAGGGAGGGAAGGGAGGGGGCTAATGTCAGGGTGTCCCCCTCCCCCTGCACCCCGCTTACCCCATCTCCATATAGAGCAGGGAGGGGACGATGGACGGAGAGAGACAGAGAGAGCTTGGGGTAGCAGCTGCTGTCTCAACTTCCTCGATACCACTTAAAAAGACAATGCACTTAAGAGTGGGTCAGCTTACTTAAAGGGGCCGAGTGCATCTCTCTCTCTCTCCCACACACAAGGTGTGTGTCTGTCTCTGTCTGCTATGCTGTCTCCCCTCCCT